ACTGCGGGGCCAGCTCTCAGCGATGCCCGGCTCTGCCCTTCACCTGCCCGCGCGGGCAGGGAGCCAGCCCGCTCCCCTGGCTCCCTCTCCTGCCCGCTGTCGACACTTGCACGGGTTACGTTTGGCCCCGGATGACTGTGCAAAATAATACCACCAAAAATAAAATAGTAAAAAAATAAAATTATTAAAAAGAAGAAAACAATTAATAGTAAAAGACGACAATTCTGAGCATAATAATTAATACTAAAATAAAATAATAAACACCCTGTTACAGAATTACAGAGCATCTTCAGAGACATAATTCGGGGGCAAACAAGAGGGAACGTGTCTCCTTCCTGCTCCTCCTTCTCTCTGTGCCTGAGAGCAGGAGGATGCAGGCATCCACCCGCAGGGCTGCGTTCCCTGCGCCCTCCAAGCCCGTGTATACACTACGTATATAAGTGTGTGCCTGAATTTAGGATTGCCTTTGAATTCCCTGCACGTAGAGAAAATAAATCCCACCTGCAAAGCTGCATTTAGCAGGCAGCCTTTCACTGGCCAGTCCCACGGCGGTTTATAAAACGGGGACAGCACTGCCAACATCAGCGCAGAGATGTAAGGAAAAAAACGTTTCCAAGCTCTGCAAGTTTCTGCAAAAAAACCCTCACAACCCGTACGACGCAGAAAGGGCTGCTGCCACGGGGAGGTTAAGTCCTTTGCTCAAATAAAGAGGAAGCCCACGGGAGAGGAGGGGTTTCAGCTCATTCCTCCCAAACCCTCCCGCTCAGCATGGTAAACGCTTCCCTGTGCGCCCCGATTGATTCTCCAGTACCCAACGCCACAACACCTACATCTCAAGAAGGGTTCCAACCTACGTTTTCCTCTTCCATCCTGCGCCCGGGCTGGCAACAACAGGTTTTGTTTGATGAGCTTGTCCACCATCTTGGTTGGCCCCTGCCAAAAGCGGTCACACCAACCATCTCAAACGCAGCCGAGTCCGCCGAAACCCAAGTGCAACCTCTGCCAAAACCCACGGGGTTCGACCCAAGTTTCTACAACCAGAGCGAAACACAGCACCGAACCGAGAAAGGGCCATTTACTGGGGCATCGAGAGATTCAACTAAGGCGATGAAGAAACCCCGCGAAGGTATGCGAGGGAGTATGCCATAGGCTGTGCGTTAGGACGTGCCGTAGGGTACGCAACAAATAGCCCTTTCTCCACGTGCGCCAAGGCGGTTCCACGCGCAGGGAGGTACCGGGCGCTGGCTCTGGCTGCACGCCGACGCGCGCTCTGCAGCGAGCTCTGCTGCTCTGGGTAGAGATATGCATTTTGTGGTGGTTGCCTTTTTTTTTTTTTTATTAAAAGAAGGTATCAGCCTTCTGTTTGATGTGCTGTTGGCCGCGGTTGCTAAGGGGAGCAGTGTACAATTACAGCCCCAGTGATGTCCACTCTAATAATACCCTTGGCTCTGCATAGCTCAGATGCAGACACAGCTCTGCTATAAAGAGCATGGCCATTTCAACAGAGGAATACTCCAACTTATGTTACATGTGAAGGGTTTGTAGCACGTTGCTTAACACCACCCCCACCAAAAAAATTAAAAAAAATAAAAAGCGCCACAGCTTGGAGATGCCACGGAGTGAAACTATGACAAGCAAAACCCTCTCGCCGCAGACTTACTTAATCTATTAATTAAGAAGGTATTTCTAGAGGGGTGAAGAAAGCATACATGTGTCCACCAAGATCTGCTTCCATGCCTCCATCCACCCAAGCTCCCCAGAATCAGTTCGGCCAGGCCCATCCCAAGGGCTTGTGCAGCCCAAAATCCCTCCTTGTACCAAACAGCAAACCGAACCCAATGAGGGGAAAAAGCAAACCCAAGTGACCCCCTCAGTGCCAAGCCCCGAAACAGCAGCATCTCCCCGAGCCCAACCAGCCGCCCATCCCACACCTCCCATTTCCATGCCTCCCTTCAGCATCCCGAAAGGTTCTCAGCTCCCAAATTCAAGACTCAGACAAGATTTGGGACCAAAAAACAGAGTGAGGGATAAATCCGAACCAGACTTTCCCCGCTAGAACCCCTTGGAGCCTGAAACGGTGCAACGTCGGCTGGGGGATGCTCTTTAGAGGAGCTGCCAGCAGGGAGGGGGATGATGTGACAGCATTCCCATGCCGCGGCGCTGGCATCTGGTTTGGGATCAAAACCAGTCCCCCGAGATAAGCTGCGAACATGTGCGGCCGCCGAGCGCGAGCACCTTGTCAACAGCTGAAAATATAAGAGGAGCCAGGTTAAAATGACAGTTCATTCAGTTTATTGCCTGTTCCGCGGGAAAACCCCTTGCTGCTCCTTTTAAGGTCTGGCAGGATCTAGGGATGCTGTCTATAGGTCCTGGGATGCTAGCAGGGCGGTTGGTGCATTAGTTTATGAGATCCTCTGGTGGGGCCAAGCTGTTGCCATTGCAGTCCTGAGAGAAAGGGACAAACAAGCTCCTACAAAACAGGAGCATCTGCCGGGAGCAGATGGGGGGGCGAGCGGTCCAGCCCCAGGCGCCAGCAGCACGGCAGGGGGATCACGTTGATCCCGATTTATCACACCCCGGCAGAGTAATTCCCCAGCTCGTCGGGCACCGGCGAGCTGAGCTCCTTAGGTCCGGGGATCGGATTAGTCTGAAAGGTGCTAGAGAGACACAAATCCAGCTCTGGGGGCAAGCATTTATTAAAGTTTTGTTTTGTTTTAATTAATGGTAAATTATCTAGAAATGGTTCATGGAAAATATCTGATGGCGGAGGGGCCAGGACTAGAGCTGGGTAATGTTATAATCTCAACCATATATCAATATATCATTTTGATATATATCTCAATATATCATACTGATATCGATATATCAATTTTGTACCATCAACCATGTAGCAATATATCATATTGATTTTATTAGTATATCAATGTGATATCCATATTACTCCCTAATATACTATCCAATATACCATATTGATAATATATCATAAATCAATACCATCAACCTCCTTACTTTACATCAAGGCAGCTACAACGACTCTTTTGTGCTTCATACCCGAGTCTGTCTCCAGCCGGGGCTATCAAGCCTGAACGCACCAGAAAATTTCCCAGTTTAGGGCTTGACGAAAGTATTATCATGAATCTGTGTGAATGCATCTGATTATTTTGGTTGGAAAAAGAAACTGTGCTTGGAGAAAGTCAAAATCCTTTACTATCAGAAAGGAAATGTTAAATTATTTAATTTCACATAGCACTTTGCTTTTGACCTGTAGCGGTCTCTCAACTTTTGCCCCATCAAGACATTTTTAAGAGATGTGCAGTCTGGGGCTGAGCAAGTCCCTTTCGCATATTTTTCTATGCTCCAGCACATGAACCCAGTCACCCGCACACGCTGCTCAGTCTTTGCATTTCATTTCTTCCCAGTTTTCCACAACGGACATCATGCTCCCATCACACTGAGACTGGCTACATGTTCCTGGGAAGCACTTTGGGACTCTCTGGAGGTGAGAGATGTATTATTTATCCTACATTCACACTATGAAGAGCTGAATAGGAAGCCAGTTATTATGGCACAGGATGCTGCTGTATAAATCAGTCTACTGGGTCTGTTGTTGGTGGTGGAAAAACT